CACAGAACGTACTTCCTCTTAGCGGATAACTTGCACAGATAGACTCATAAGAAAAATCACGTAGTTACGTACATAAATTACACGTGTGCAAACATCCAAGATTTTCTTTTCCCTCGCCTTTGATTTTGTCAAAAATGTAAGCAATAAAATGTTTCTGTTCGCCTTTTACGACACTTCCGAATCAAATAAGGCGACGGCTTTCTAATGCCGCCCCCACACGCACGGCACTTGAAATAGTCATTGTAATTGATTATATTTATAAATGCAAAGGGAAAATTTTAACAAAAAATAAAACTAAAAAATTTTGAGAAATGATTTCTTACGAGTATCGCGAACACTCCACACATAAATAAAACTAGTTGGCGTATATTAACTTATTTTATATTCTCGACGTTTCGAGTACTTTACAGCACCAATAGTCTTCAGAGGTTTTCGACGTCCCAATGTCATAGTTAACGGCTACCTCCAGATTAATATTATTACTTTTTGTTCCGACCTACGCAAAATGATGAACTTACAGTATCTTGAAGTCTTGTAGTTGTATGCTTGGGTTGGGATTTAATTTTATTAATTATTGGATACCAAGCAGATAAGTAGTACCCAGCCATCTTCTCTATTGAAATTAGGATGTTTTTCGATTTCAATAGCCACGCGAATCATCCTTGGAAGGAATCGGTGTTCTTTAGCGAGGATTTGTGGTCTATCAAATCTAATGTAGTGACGGGGGTGACACGTGTTCACAGACTGCACATCAGCTATGTGTTCTTTAATGCGGGTTTTTATTGATCTTTTAGTTAGTCCTGTATATGAGAGACCACATTCACAGTCAAGCTTGTACACTCCTGCATCTTGTAGAGGGACATTATTTATTTATTTATTTATTCACAAAATGCGTTACATGTGACTTAGTGACTAAACAAAACATGCAAGTTCTAACAATCACATGCACCTCGAAATGCATAGCAATGAACAGGAGAGGGGCAGACACTTAAAAATTATTTTCCTCAATGTATTCAATAACTTTTTTTAATAAGTATCTCTTTTAAAGATCTTATGAATTTATTAATATTTGTTTCGGCTTTTATGTATTCCGGCAATTTATTATAAATGTTTACATTACACTTGACTGATAGTAAAACTGACTAATCTTCTTCGGTGGCTTGAAGTATGTTTTAATGGAAGCACGTACAGGATCACCCCAGTCACTACATTAGATTTAGAGATAGACCACAAATCCTCAAATTCCATCCTTCTCAATCCTTTAAATTGAACAAAAAAAAAACAAGGGGCAGTTCAAAACAGCGCGTGAAAACGTAATATACGTAGTATAATATACGTTACGAGTATAATAAGTGTCTTGCTTACGTCAGATATAGCAAAATGGTGAAAAATTAGAGGTATTTGGTACTGTGATTTACATACCAAGCCTACATACATGGCAAATTATCGGCACATCGAAAGAGGTTGTCCAGCAGTGGACATATTTTTCTGATAAAATAGACGAAAATTTTATGTCAAAACATTATACGTTAAAACAAAGCTTTAACATAACTAATAAGACGATATTGATTACATCTACAGTGTCAATGCAAAATTTGTATTGGAGTATATCGACGCACGGGGTTATTCAAATCGCCAACGCAGTCTCATTTACATCTAAAACGACCCTTGTTTGCTGTCTGTTGATTACCTTCTTTGTTTTGAAGTGAAATAAGACACATAATAAATAAAGTAGAAAATCTTCTTTTAAGTGTTAAAATGCAGTTGTGTTTTGCACTCTTATAGACCGATATTATGAAATACTCTTAAACCGGTAAAATGGTTTTCTTGGGTCACATAAGAAACATAGCAACATTATACCGCTATTTTAGCGGGGACCCTTTCCAGTGGAGTTGACCATAGTATAAATTTTTATTTCTTTAAACCATAATGATTGTAAAGGATAAGCGTAAAAATATGTTTATTCTAACATGAAATGTCACAAAACGAAAATTAAGTGATAAAACTTACTTTCTTCTTCTTATTTTGGTATACAAAGGAAATTATATTTTTATTTCATTCTTATTTTATTTTAAACTAATCAGGTGTTCAGGTAGAAATTATTACATATACAACATAATATTTGAAATTTCAACTATCCAAATGTTTTTAAAATGGTCTAAATTCAATTATCGCTTTGTTTAATACGTTACCTACCTGCAAATAGACACAATAGTTACACGATCTAAATGTTAATATATGATTCACATGACGGGGAAAAATTCAATCCAGAATTGATTATTATTGATAATTTATAAAAAAAATATATATTTAAATGAGTTTAAAAAAAATTATCAGCAAATTTCAGTATCTCATTTCCTACTCAGTCGCAGTTTCATGTTTAAAAAAATATTAGTATGACTATTTCACGGCTAAAAATGACATCAACTGACTAGTAAGGATTCGTCTAAAATAGTAGTATATAGTAAATAGTAATTAGTTGGAATAATATATTTTAAGTACAATTGTCTCGATCTCAATCGATTCCCTCTTAATAGTATTGGTAACATACCAGCAGACACTTTTCAAAGGTTCTCATCTAACATCAAATGTTAAGCATCCGTCAACATTTGAATATGTAAATGACAAACAAACATTGAAAACTAATGAAATGGAAATGGGGATCGACAGTTGCAAAGCCAAATCGTCGGTTGTTGGCAATGTGAATATTAGAATTTTGTTTACCGATGAATTAATTACCAGTGTTTGTACAATAGCCGATCATGGTGCAAGTGAGAATGCGATAAACATGATCGTCTGTGTTAGTAAACTATTGATGTTAACGGAAATGTAAAGAAACTACTACATAATTAATCAGTTAATGGTAATATATGTTTTCACTTATTTGACATAAAATTTAAATATATAAAATATTAAAAAACTATAATAAAATAACTAAAACTAAAAACTTAAAATCATACAGTCCTGCCCCTGTGGTATCGAGCCAAGAACGCTGGCTGTACTTAGCCTTTGAGCGAAATAAAAACCAACTCTTATCACTATCAGCGATGACCAGTCACGTATATAGTTCCTTTAGGTACTTCACTTGAAATTTATGATATGGGTAATATATGGTTTAAGAAACGACTCCATCAGGCCAGTCCATCGATTTTTCATAAATTTAAATGCATCGTTAAAGCATTGCACACCTCTATAAAAATGTTTTCTTAAAACTGCTATCTTATATGCTGCTCTATAATTTTACAAAGCGATTGGCAGTGGTAACGGCAGCGGTGGTGGTGGTACAATTTCTGTTTGCATTACGATGAATCTACTGCAGTGTTTCAATTTCAGACTAACGGCTGTAGGAGATAGTATGATATCAGGCTATGAGCCTTTTTAGTCTTCAGAGGTCGCAAACCACCTGTAGGGTACGTTGTGTAAGCTGGTAGCTGGCGGCCATAGACTATGGATCTCCTGTCACATCAATGCTAAAAATATTATTTTTATTGGGACAAAAACAAAACAGTTAGACATTAATGTTATACTAGATAATTAATTTATGAACGTGTAACCCACAATAATGCCCACAAAGTAATATTATATGCTTAGTCTTATGTTTAATACAATGGCGCAATTTATGAGAGTGTAGGTAATTATGCTGATTATTACATAATTTATAAATCATTATAGTCAGTTAGGAACTTAGTTATCATTCTTTTAAACTTTAAAGATGACGGAGCAGATATATTACATTCTATAAAGTGTGTATTATAATTATCTAAGAGGCGATGGAGGGGTGCCCACACTCCAGCGTATGTCTTAAAGCTCATTTTTAATGCTCATTACAGTTCTCGGTACAACATAATATAACCTGTTGGTGATATAACTACAGTCAAATCTGTTATTTTACAATCCATACGGCATCATGGCCATAATAAGCGATAGTCTAGATTCCAAACTCAGTAGTTTATAATGTTTTAATAACTGTGTATATGGAATTCTGGAATGGTAACACTTATAATAGATACTGCGTAAAAAATTCTTTTGGACCATTTCCAATTTATTTATTTATTATACGGAGTGACGAAAAAGTTATCACATAAAATGAAAAGACGTATGCTACATAAATTTCTTTAAACATACACAACTAAAAAAATATATAACAATTAATACATTAGCCGCGGTAGCATTTTTTTCGTTTCAATATTAAATAACATCATGTAAATGCATACAGATATCACCTGATGAATTCTAGAAGGTCAAAGACCCATGCCATTTCAAGGCGAATATAGGTAGTTTAAAGGTTATCAAACCTAACTACTCAAATAAAGAAAAAATCAAACAAAAACTGCACTTACGGCTAACAATTTAAGGCATAATTTTATGCGCGAAATTAAAAACAAAGGGAACGCACGCTGCAGGCGTATGAAAACAAAGTCAAGCGAAAAATTTACTTAAAATAATGAAGTTAAGGCATAATTCTCTACGCGCAAAGTGACAAGAAATGGGATCGGGTGTTAATATAAATTATTATTTTTCTGGCGCGTGCGACGTTTTGTAAGTCACTTCAGGTCAGTAACCTATATATCAAGGCTGATTTATTTCTTGTCAATATTTTACCCTATTTATTTTGTTTGAAAAATGCATTTTTTATTTTCTTTTATTATTGTTTATTTTATTATTTTAACAGACATATATCAACTTGTATTAACTGCTGTGCTATTTAACGTGATAACCTCGGCGCCACCCAGTATTTTTTTCTAGAAGGGCGACTTTAGATTGGTACAGCGTATTCTAATTATAAACGAATGAGTTTTTTGTATAGAATTAAGAAAGTAGATGATCGTTTAAATTCTTTAGAGAATCTCATGATAAAACCGTACTGTGTAAATTATCGAAATTATATAATATTATTAAAATTATTGTTTATTTAAATTAGCGTTCGGATTGATATGCAATTTATAAAATTTACTCCAATGTTTTAGTTTTAAATAGTAATAAAATATTTTTGTTTACAGGTCGTTCAGAACCCGGCATAGTACCATCAATCGTGGGCTTCACAAAAGACTCCGTTGCCCACGAGTCTGATCGCTTAGCTCCAGGAGACAGAATTTGCAGTGTTAATGGAATTTCCACTGCAAGACTGACAAACGATGAAGTGCTGCGCTTGTTGGATAATGTTGAGGAACGTGCATCACTTGAAGTAGAATATTATATGCCCAATTATGGTAAGACTTTTTAATTATAACTATAACTAGTTATATTATAAATTTCTTTGCAAGATGTTTTAATCTAAATTATAATAATACGTTAAGAGGAAACATTTAACCACATAACAGCATACACGGAGAAGTGTGAAATTTGGTATAGTTAAAGTTTATATGGAGAAGAGGTGCATAAAAAAAAAGTAAAGTAAAGTTGCAGCCTATTCACGTCCTACAGCTGGGCACAGGCCTCCTCTCATTTCTGAGAGGTTTTTAGGGCAAGGAAATGTCCGCCGCGCGGCCCCAACGAACTTCACATGTCTTCGAAATATTTTTTTTCTTATTTCTCAGACATGTAGGTTTCCTCACGATATTTTCCTTCGCCGCTGAACATGTGGTAAATCAGCACTTAAAACTGCAATTAACAATTTCATTAGATCGAACCCGGGTTGCTCGAGTACTGTGAAGCTTACAGCCAGCGCTAACCATCTGAGCTACCACGGCTCTCATAAAGCTAAAATTTAAATAAATATGCGTTAAAATACATAAAAAATAAAACATTAATTGTAAGCTTTCACACTGTCTGTGTCAAAAACAAAACAGTCCGTGGTCAAACAGTCACACAGGGCAGATATTGTCGACAAAATGTTAAAATTGTGCAAACAAACAATTACTGACAGATAACTAAATGGGCTGTGTAGTTTGTGTAATTATGTATATTTTTGTATATTAGATATCTGTGTTTTATTTATTATTAGACGGCTCCGTTGCGCAGTGGCTTAGCAATGAGTTGCTGCACTGGGGACCGCGGGTTCGAATCCCGTATAGAACAAGTATTTGTATGGCTTGCAAATAATTGTTCCGGGTATTGATGTTTGTTCTTGTGCAATTTGTTTGTAAACTGCCTTCAGTATACAGGAGAAAATTCTAGTGTGGGCGTAACGTTTTCTTAAATAATTAAAAATTAAAAATTTTGTACAGCCGACTTCAATATAAGTTCTTTAAGAATAACTCAAAAACTATTGGTCTGACCTTGATCAAATTCATATGGAACCACACGAGAACTAACAGCTTTCATATAAAAAAGAATCATCGAAATCGGTTTACCCAGTACAAAGTCATGAGGCAACACACATAAAAAAAAACATACAGTCGAATTGAGTACTGTCTCCTTTTTGGAAGTCGGCAGAAAAACTAACAAACTATTATTAATACGTGGTAGAGCCATGCTGCAGCTATATTATGGTTGTAGCACGAATGGGTCGGCTCGACCGGGGAAGGACCACGCTCTCACAGAAAACCAGCGTAAAATAGCAGCTTAACGCTGCTGTGTTTCGTATAGTGAGTGTAGAGAACCGGAGACCCTTTTTACTGGCAAAGAGGCATTCCATCTTAGTCCTCACGGGTGACAACGCATCTGCATCTTGAGTCTTTATTGAGGATAGATGTAGATGTCTATGGGTCACAGTAACCACTTACCATCAGGTGGACTGTGTGCTCGTTTGTCACCCGATCCTATAAAAAAAATTAATGTGCATTAAACTGCACATTAATTTTTTTTCAGCCAAATACATCTTTTTCTTTAAACAAACTTAAACATTTTATAAATTGCGGTCTTTCAACTACTGTTTGGCTACTAGAATATATTATTGAAACTATTTGCCAGTTATCTATTATTACTAATATTTTCCCATTTACCATTCAAATTAAGCTTTAAATGCATGTGTTAGGAATGATTCACGATAGTAGTCAAGTGGCGGATTCGAACCTATGAAATTTTAGGTTCTATTATCCTTATCCATTAGCCTCCTATAATTATATGCTATAATTCTTGTGAGATATTAAACGATAAGCGTTTCTAATTCTCGACTTTGTTTCAGCCTCCCAGAATTCACTTTATATAACGACGAAGTTAGCTGAAGTTCCGGTAGAGAAAATAAATGGCTCATTAGGTGTAACCATAAGGGGTGGCCTACCCGAGAACTCGGCGCCGAGCGCAGACTTAGTATTAAATAGCCGGTCGTTAGATGCTCTACCACTAGTTGTAACTCACGTGAGGCCAGGTGGTGCAGCTTACAATACTTCTAGGATAAAGCCGGGCGATAGACTGTTAAAAGTGGACCATGTAAGTAAATCCACTTATACTTATATACAATTTGGCTCGCGAGACGTTGATTTGTCTTGTAAATATCACTCACAAATTCACTCACTGTTTACAAATCACATTGATGCGTAAATAAAATTTCTAAAAAATATATAGTAGCTTCAACACCACCTATCGGATCCTAATACAGCTATGAACCATCGTCTCGACGAGACAAACATAATATTGTGTGGGATCATATTATATCGGTCTAGTCGTTCAAAGTTATACATTTACTACTAACTACTAACGATTATATTCATAAAATGATTGTGTATAAAATAATTAAACCAAGCAATAACGAATATTAAAACTATTTTCATATAAAATGAGGTTTTAATATTAGATGGATCTGATCTGTCTGTAGCTGTGTGGTAACCGCTCAAGAGAATTTATCATCTCATCACATTATCATATATATCTTATACATACATATATCATATTTATATGTATTTATTATTATATTATTTTAATAGAAAAGATATAATCATTTTATAAAATATATCTCGCAAAAATAAACATAAAAATGTTGTCAGTAATTAGTTTTTTGTAAAATATAATTTTCTAATAAAATAATTTTAAATGATTAAGCTAATATTTTTATTCAAATTATTTTCCAGATATCATTAACTAATAAAACATTGTCAGAAGTTCATCAAATTTTACAAAATTGTCCACAAGTTACAAGTCTTACAATAGAATATGATGTATCAATAATGGAATCTGTGAAATTGGCCACCGGTCCACTACTAATAGAAATAGAAAGACCGTGTAATGAAGATTTAGGTTTATTTTTAAGCAATCAACGTTACTCGGATGATGTTTACAGCTCTGGTTCGGACACATACCAAAGGGTTGGAACATGTAATGCAATATATATAGATAGCATACTACCGGCGAGTATAAGTGACAGGTGAGATAACATTTAAAATTTAGAACACTCCCGGTATAATAGACAAATTTAAATAAGAACTGCTTCTGCTGTTTTTTGCTTTTACGAATTATTTTTAATTGGCATACGACCTTACGGTTTTAAGGACACAATTTTTTTTTTTATAGGATAAGGGTGACCATCGAGCACACAGTCCACCTGATGGTAAGTGGTTGCTGCGGCCCATAGACATCTACATCTATCCTCTGTTACAAATCAAAATGTAGATGCGTTGTCACCCGTGAGGACTAAGATGGAATGCCTCATTTCCAGTAAAAAGGGCCTCCGGCCACCTGCACTCACCAAGCGAAACGCAGAGGTAACCCTCTACTTCACGCTGGTTTTCTGTGAGGTCGTGGTACTACCCCGGTTCGAGCCGGCAAAGCTGCCGCGTGGCTCTACCACTGTTAGAGACAATATAGATAAACCTCGGGCGAAGAAGGCTACCTTCTAAACTTCAAGGAAACTTCTTTGCGCCTGATGTTACTTTGCTACAGATGTCACTACCGAGGACTTAGATGGAATGCCTTACAACGTTTAATTACTGGCTCTCTTTATCCTTAACATCAGAAGACAGTGGTGCACGACGATTTTAGACGAACTTTTAAGCTGAAAAGGAGTCCTACCAAAATCATGAAATACAATCTATTTAAAGTTTCCCACTCCCCATTATTGAAAAAATAAAAGAGCGGATAGACTTCGCCCCACCAGTCCAGTGTCCCTTAGACTTCTTATAACGTTGACTGATTCTGATAATATGAAAGTTTTTTTTCAAATATTTTCCTTCATCGCCAAACATATTGTAAATTAGAAAGTAATATTGATACTAACAATTTCATCAAAGCCATAACAAGACAGCCTCCTATATTATGTAAGACTTATATACAACAGCTAAGTGAACATTTTAACATTTACGCTGTAATCTGTTCCTCCAAATGAGGCAATCTATGAGGAAGGTCTTTGTCCAGCAGTGACATGCTGATGATGAATCTGTTTCAACTTTTATTTTCAACTGGGTGTTTATATTTAAAACTTATCTTCTAGGTGTGGGGCATTACACCCTGGTGATCAGTTGCTAGCGTTTGACGATCACGTAATAGATGGAAATAACTACACTGCAGAAGAAGTCATGTGTTATTTAGAAAATTGTGAGGCTGGATTCACAAGATTACACGTTGCGCCCAGGCACGTATTGGCTCATGGAGGAAGATATACTAGAGGTACAGTATTAACGGTTTATTAGCACAGTCGCTGAGTATTTGATAGCACCGCTGCGTGGTCGCGCATTTGAATCCCGCACTGAACAAATATAAGTGTATGGCTTTTATATAATTTTATTGTATATATTTTATCGTACACAACAAAATATAACAAGGCGTATCTTAAATAGATAGAAAAAGGTCATGTTATTGCTGAAGAGAACTGTAACTTTTCCATACAATTGTAAGGTTAAGGAAAATTTGTAATAGTAAACAGTGGGAGGTGGTGTAAGAGTATATTATAATAAGCTTAGATGCGGATACCTAAAAACTACATAACCGCTGTTTAGTAACATAGTAACGAAATAATAGACTGGTATTATATGTATACAAACTAAATATGATAGAAATACATAAAAATTACATAAGTAAATATAGACGGGAAATAAAAATCTAAGGTAGTGTAAATTGTTTCAGATTTGAGCCCAAAACCCCAGTGTGGTCGTACGTATTTTTTTTGTAATGTGTAGGTAAAATTATTTTATATTAAAAATATGAAAGCATTTTGTGTAAAAAATCGAAGTTACTAATTTTCTATGCCAGTTTTTCTTTCCTCATTTAACAGTACGGCCCCTAAAGAGAGTAATAATTAACTATAATCTGTTTTTAATTTATGCACCACACTAATTAAAATTAAAACAAAACCTTAGAGCAACATATTATGTTATATTGACTAAGGCTAGAGAATAGAAACTTTCAAAGAATAGCCTTCTCTAACGATAGAAGCCGCATAAGTGCAGTGTTGATTTTTTAAATCTATATTTTATGTCATATATATATAAGTGGTAATGGGTATTCAAACCCATGTAGTGGCGGGTAAGTATACTCACTAGCCCATGTCTTCTCGTGGGTGTCTTAAGAGGCGATAGAGGGAAACTGAGACAGAAGATGGGCAGCAGCATCTTTCTGATAACAGCAAATTACTATAAAACTGCTGCGGTTGCCAACCCACTCGCCAAGCGTGCCAACTACGGCAATATACCTCCATGACAAAAATTACAAAAAGACGGCATCCAGTCCCCGACTGCCCCGCTACTCCTGGCTAAAGTGGTGACCATGTTAACGGCGAGGCAAGGGGATACTAAGAATCTCCGGTGGAAATTTGTTTGCCACCTAAGATGACTCAAACTGGCAACATACAACGCACGCACTCTGAGGACTGACAAGAAGATCCTAGAGCTGCAAAAAGAGGTATACTAGTTGCGTTGGGATATAATAAGATTATCTGAGGTCCAAAGATAGGGGGAGGACACGGTAATCCTCGAATCCAGCAACTTGTTCTATCACCGGCAGGGCGACCATCTGTCCCAAGGAGGTGTCAAATTTAACGTTCACAAGTCTCTAGTTAACAATGTTGTAAAGTTTGCGAGTGTGCCGATGAGGGTTGCGTAGCTTATACTCAGAATCACCAAACGGAATTCTTTGAAGGTCATACAGTTTTACGCTCCTACCTTGGTACATCCGGATGAGGAGGTGAAAGATATATATGAGGATATCTCCAAAGCCATGCATTCCTCCAAAACCTACTATACGGTGTTAATGGGAGACATCATTGCAAAAATAGGCACAAGAGAGAACGGAAAGCTGAGGGTAGGGAAATTTGGAATAGGGCAACAGAACCCAAGAGGTCAGCAACTTGCCGAGTTCATGGAAAAAGGGAGACTCTTTATGATGAACTCTTTCTTCCAGAAGCGGCCCACAGAAAATAGATTTGGCTGAGCCCCGACGATTCGACAAATAATGAGATTGACTTCATTTTGATGACTAGATGGCAACTGTTGACTAGATGCCTCAGTGATCGCGAGAGTGAAAACTGGTAGCGATCACCGAATGGTTAGAGGCACAGAAAACCTAAACGTTAAGTTAGAGAGGTGTCATCTAATGAACACTCGTGCTCTAATCCGAAGTCCCGAAACCTTTTAGCTCGAGCTACAAAACAGTTTTCAGTGCGTAGATAACCGCAATGCAGTGAACGATATGTATGACAAGCTCATGGAAACTGTCCATGCGGTATGAGCTAATTTCTACAAGACCTGCCGCAGAAAAACACAAAAATTCTCCAATCATACTCTTAATCTCATGGCTGTTAGTCGGGAAATGAAGCTGTAGTCTTCAGTAGATTTGACAGCATACATGCAACTGAACAGACAGATCTCGAAATGCATGCGGCGGGACTTAGGCAACTTTAATATTGCTCGTATTGGAGAAGTGATCGAGCAGAACCAGCGCTTCAAAGTCTTTGCCAGAGATCTGTCTGCAAGAAAAAGTCGAAGATGAAGACCGAATATGGATGCATTGTTTCCGGGACACCTAGCATTTTAAGTGAGATTGATAGCTTCTACAGGCAGCTGTACACACCATCGTGGAAGCCACACACATGTGTGAGTAAAGATCCAAGAGCAAATCTTATCTGACACTATTCCGATGATATCCCGGACGTCAGTCTGAGCGAGATTAGAATAGCTCTCCAGCACCTTAAAAACGGCAAGTTCTCAGGCGAGGATGGAATTACAGTGGTATTTTTAAAATCCGGTGGAAAACCGCTACTTGAAGTCCTTCAGAAGCTGTTTAATTCCGTCCTCCATGGTGGCACTAAAAGGTGACTATGCTCTCTTTAATAACTACAGACCGATTTCCCTTAGAGCTGTTTCTGTGAATCATTACGAATCCCCACGCATGCAGTATTGCCTACTTCCAGACTCCCAAAAAAGCCGGTTTCCGAAAAGGTTTTAGCACCATAGACTACATACATATCCTTCGGAAAACTGCACGGAATTTCGAGGAGTACAATTTGCGACGATGTCTTACGTATTTGGACTATGAGAAAGCCTTTAATTTGGTCAAAATTTGGGTGATGCTGCAGTCCCTTCAGCAGTGCCAAGTTGACGGTCGGTATATTGAAGTGCTGAAGTGTTTCTACAGTATGGCTGCGATAGCTATCCAAGTACAGAACCAGAGTACGAAACCTATCCGACTGCAGAGAGGTGTGAGACTGGTTGATGTTATATCCCCGAAACTCTTCACCGCTGCATTAGAAGACGTTTTCAAGCTTCTGGACTGGAAAGGATGCGGTATTAACATCAATGGCAAGTACATCACTCACCTTTGATTTGCCAACGATATAGTCCTTATAGAAGAATTGCTAGAGGACCTAAGCACTACGCTTTGACTTCAATAACGTCTCCCAACGGATAAGTCTTAAAATGAACATGGAAAAAACAAAGATCATGTATGACGTCCATGTCACACCTATGCCGGTGGTTGTTGGGAGCACTAAGCTCGAAGTTGTTGACGAGTATGTTTATCTGGAACAAATAGTCCGATTAGGTAAGTCCAACTTCGATCGAGAGTTCAATCGACGGATTTAACTGCTGGGCAGCCTTCGGGAAATTACAATTCACTTTCTTGTCAGGTATACCTCAAAACTTGAAAACGAGACTGTACAACCGACGAAAGACAAAATAGACTTGGTTTTTCACTGTTGTCCGTATGAAGAAACTCAACGAGCTATGGAAATAATATTCTCGGGGTTGCCCTGCATGATAAACTTACAAATGAGGATATCTGCAGTAAAACCAGAGTGATCGACATAACCCAACGGATTGGTAAGGTGAAGTGGCAGTGGGCCGGCCATATAGCTCGAAGAACTGACAACCGATGGAGAAAAGGTTCTCGAGTAGATGCCTCGTACCAGTAGGCGAAGTGTAGGGTCCCCCCCACTAGATGGAGTGATGACCTGGTAAGACATGCAGGAAGTCAATGGATGCATGTGGCTCGGGACTGTGCTTTGTGGCATTACTTGGGGGAGGCCTATGTTCAGCAGTGGACTTCTGAAGGGCTGTAATTATGAAGATGATGACGATTATCTAATATTTAAACATCTTTTTATTTTTAAGAAACTAAATACCTACTTTGATAGAAATTAGAATAATAAACATTATTATGATCTCTAGTCCAAATTTCGGTCATCGCTAGCCAGTATCAGTAAAGACTGGCCATATGCAAAGTAGAACATTCTAGTACTGTACAAATTTGCGCGCAAGCACAGGTGCTATCTATTCCTAACTCTCATAGTCCGAAGTAATCATAAAGCGATTATCATCCAACCCGGGTTTTAAATCCAATTAACGTATTAAAAATCGCGTTCATGACCAATTTAAAGAAATAGCGAGTCAGTCAAACATAAATATTACATGATGTGAAAGTAGTATAAAACATTAAAACATTTAAACAAAAGTTAGATATATAAAAATGGTACCAAGCTATCCTACCAACATCAAGACAAGTTCATTTAACTTTTGACAAGCAATGCCGACAACCTATGTGTATTATAATGATGCTGTAATTATATAACTTCTAATAATAGATTATTATTACAACATGAAAAAAAATCTGAAAATATAAGGTCAGGGAAAAAGTTTCTTCGTATTTTATATGTATACAAATTCAAGACATTTTATTTTCAAAGTTTACATTTAGTTATAATATATATGTGCCATTTTGTTCGACAAATTGTTGCCATCTTGAATGTAGTTACATAATTTTAAACAACAAATTCTTTAAAATTGATTAACCTTACTAACAAGGTAGCAAACGGTTACGTTTTGTATAATATAAAACTAATTCAGTTAGATAATTCTTTCGTTATCAGTCTTCATATATATACAAGCAACCTTTCACGTAAGAGGATACACCATCCCATATCATACCGTGGGTGCCGTAAGAGTTGACAGAGCTAAATGAAAAATGGGATGGGTAGCATCATTTTTTTTACAAAAACCGATAAGAAATAAATATCCTTATTTATTTAAAATGTGCTATTGCAAACCACTGGGTAATAATAAGTCCTAAATATGTATTTAGTTGATGTTGATGATGATCGAGTAACAAATTTTCTCAGAACTAAGATTAAAATAGTAAAAAAAAATTATCTAATGATGATAGTAAGGAAAATTTTACTCCTATTTTCTTTTCTAACGAAAAGTATCCATTCAAATTACCATAAATGTAATTTTGTTCCAGAGAATTCAATATCCGGAGCATCAACACTGAATACTAAAAAACATCGTCAAAGAAATTATAGGCAAAGTTCAATGCCAAAATTAGGCTTACAGGATGACTATGGTAAGTGGGAAAGTTATTTGAATATTAAATTTAACAATGTATACTTAACTGTCCAAATTAATTTTGTTAGCAAAATATTTTATAATTTGTGATCCTACGAAACTAAATTGTAAACGGACTTTCCTAAACAACGTTGCTTCGTTGAGATATATTATATAAATAAGTAGACATTGGTATATTTTGTAATTTAACTAAAATTAATCTAAAATAACCCACGATAATAATACTTAAAAATATTACAGTGCTGTAAGAAAGTATTCATTTATTCTCAAATGGGTACGGCGATGCTTTTTTTTTTTTATGAATATACGAACTACATAAGTTCTTTTTTGTAATGATACAAAATTTATAATGTATTTTAAGTAATATAATGAAATAAGCTTTTGCAATTTCATTTAGTGTTGAATGCAGCGAATGTTATTATTTTTTTAGAATCTATTCTGTATTGACACTTGTATTTAAAAATAAATAATAACATTAATAAAAATTTGAATTTGTAAACTCACTTTAAAATTTTTGATCAGTAATTTTCACTTTATATTTAAGCAAATATAATATAATCCGAAGTGACTCTGGACAAATATTTTTCTCTATATTGCAAACAAGGGTCTTTGTATTAAGGTTGGGACTAATATTTGTTTAGGACTATTGTCTTCTACTAATTCTTGTAACTAGTTTACTAGTTCAGTACCATACAATGTATTTACACAAAAGCTTATTTGATGATAATGAATTCAACAGACAACCAGCAAAACTACATGAATTTAGGAGTTTGTCGCACAGAGTCATTAAATATACAATTAGATGTACCGCCTGGACATAACAGTGGTCTGGCTGTTCATGAAGAAAATTCGATACTAATTATATCTCATGTTGTACCGCAATCACCTGCTTATAGGTAAGTATAGAAACTAATAACGCGATATTGTTATGAAATATTTTAATTTTATGATTCCTTAAAAGAAAACTATAAGTCTTCGCCCTATTATCATCATCTTAAGATCATTCAAAGAACATTCAAGGCTTGTGTCTTTCACAGTTGGATACTTTTGTAAATAATAAATTCGTGGTGATATTTTGAAACTAAGGTTTTTAAGTGGATGATGGGAAACGTCTTAATATTATGGAAAAAATTTCATCTTTTAGGTGTATTAAATTTTAAATATTATTTTAAAAATAGAATGCAGTTAGGTATCATCATCATTACAGCCTCTCTCAAGTCCATTGTCGAACCTACTTTCAGGGAATGCTACAAAACATGGTCCATGAAAAATTAAAAATCTATGGAGATGGAAGGTTCTTGAGTAGCCTTGTACCTATAAGCGAAAGGTCGGACGAGTGTCACTAGATGTAATGCCAATCTAGTAAGACATGCTCTACGTGGTAGAGCCATTCTGCAGCTATATTATGGTTGTAGCACGAATGGGTCGGTTCGAACGGGGAAGGACCACGCTCTCACAGAAAATCAGCATAAAATAGCAGCTTAAAGCTGCTGTGTTTCGTATGGTGAGTGTAGAGAACCGGAGACCCTTTTTACTGGCAAAGAGACATTCCATCTTAGTCCTCACGGGTGACAACGCATCTGTATCTTGAGTCTTTATTGAGGATAGATGTAGATGTCTATGGGTCACAGTAACCACTTACCATCAGGTGGACTGTGTGCTCGTTTGTCATCCGATCCTATAAAAAAAATACGTGAATTCGACAGATGCGAGTTGATCAAGACTGTGTTCTATCTACTGTTGGGTATGGGACTCTCCCCATGGTAGCGACAATGTTTTGTTATTGTAACAATTGGCATAGCAATTAGCGCAACACTAGAATTCTTGGACCTTTATCACTTATAGCCGTCGGTGGCATGCAAATTTTACTTATAGTATTACGATATATATATATATATATCTTAATTTATCGAAGGCTACGAGATTTTCAGAGCCTTTAACTGCTTTGAAATTATGTAATTATTAAATACTAAGCAATAAATTCAAAATGTAACCAACAAATAACTATTTCAGGTCAGGTTGCTTGCAAATCAGAGACCGTGTAATGTCAATCAATGGTCACGAAAATCTGACTGCGGACGTAGCAAATGAAATTTTACAGCGAAGAAATGACTCGCATAACCCTAAATATTTAACCTTGAATGTTGAATTTAGTATGCCTAACGTTATTGAAGCGTCCAGTGGTGTATTCAGTGTTAAGCTTGCAAAAACATCCGCAGGACTTGGAGTTACTATAACTGGTATATACAATTTTGTTATGAATAACTAATTATAGCAACTTTGTAAACGTAAACTATATTCACATCACTGTCATCACTGTCATCACTGTCATCATTTTCATCAGCAGCAGCCTGGAGAAATTCAATGTTTGACTGCTTAGCCTTATCACTTTGGCTTTACCCATCCAGTTGCTGCAAGTCTCATTGTAGGTGTCATCTCAAGTAGCTAGACAATCAAAGTTACTTACAATGTCTACCCTATTATATCTGCAAACTATATTCCACCAAAGCTAAAAAATACCTTTTGAAAGCTGTCACATTTATTGGACCAGGCATTTCAAATGAAAAATCAATAGCTACAATATTCGATTCTTAAGAGAAATCTTTTACAGTTTTATCTACATAAATATCGGCTCGACTAGGGAAGGACCGCGCTCTCACAGAATACCAGCGTCTAATAGCAACTTAACACTGCTGTGTTTCGTATGGTGAGTGGAGAATCGGAGACTATTTTTACTGGAAACAAGGCATTCCATCTTAGTCCTCACGGGTGGCAACGCATCTGCATTTTGATTCGCAAACGAGGATAAATGTAGATGTCTATGGGCCACACCAACCACTTACTATCAGGTGGACTGTGTGCTCGTTTGTCACCCTATTCTATAAAAAAAAAATCAGAATAAATTAGAAACATATATAGACATATAGCTCAAAACGCAAACCGTATTAAATCCCTTATATTTATTGCTTAAATGAAAGACTGCACTACATTAAAACAATTTTTTAAATCACATTCACCACAATAAGTTTAGATGTTGTCATCATCATTGTTGCTTACGTTAAGTATTATTTGATTTGCAAGCCTCATAAGGCGAAGCGTTATTAGGTAGTACTTTATTCTCGACACGTCTACGTCAAGCATTTTTGTGTTCTTAAAAAACCTCTATTATAACCATATTGCACTTATACGATAATATGAGTAGCCATATATCAAGAAAACACTCTAATTAATAATATTATATTTTCTAAAAATCATTTTATATTGCTACTTTCAAAAACAAAGGGTTTGAAAAATAATTTACGTATTTTAATCTCCAAAAAATTTACGTATCGAGACCGGGTTTTTTCTTTATTAGCATTAGAATTACTACAATAATTGGTTCCCTATTTCATATCGATAGCCTAGTACTCGTCGTTTGTTAATTCAATTATTTTCAAGTTTTATAAGTTTTATTGCTATTAAAAATTTAAAGGCGCTTATATTTTCATATATTTTTAGCACTTGATAGACAAAGGACAAATGTACTATACAGCTTATATCGGTTTTATACTTTGTGTAATTGATTTATTTTGGTAAATATTATTACCTTTTCCCCAGTAGGTGACACTGTCTGTTAAAATAATAGAGGGCTAAATTTAAAACACGTAAATAATATATTTTGAACGTCAGTAATACAACTTTTTTTTCAAAATCAAAATGCAACGCTCATGAGACGTGCACTTTAAGATTTTTAACGGACTTCAAAAAGGAGGAGTAATCAATTCGACTGTATTTCTTTTTTCTTTTTTTGTGTTACTTTTTTCTACGTAATTTTGATGACACTTTTTTTATTTGAAAGCTGTTGCGTCTCATGTAGTCCCATATAAATTTGATTAAGGTCTGACCAGTAGTTTTTGAGTTATCCCTAATAATTTATATAATTAATATTTTTTGAAGTCGGTTGTACAAAATTTTTAATTGTCCACTTGCTTTAATTACATTCAAAATTGTTCTTTCAAAGTCATTCATAACATTTTTTTTTATTTTCTCCGTCCTTTCACCCCAATAATCCCTTATTTAGTAGTATCCCGTAGTAGTTGTATTTTCTACAAACCCTCCTCCAGTTGATCCCACATGACAATTATGAGGCGCCCAACTTTTCCTACGGGTACGTCTATGCGGCACAGTGTGGTTGGCGTTGAATCATGTTTCATCAATGAATGTAACTTTGTCCCAATTGGTTATATTCTTATTTTATTTTCTTAAGTTATATTATTATTCTTTGCTTTAATTTCTCTAAATAAATATTTTGCGTTTGTCAGTTTTTTTTAAATATTGGAAGCCGATTCCTTTTCAAATGGTTCTCAATGACTCTATTCTACCACTGTATAGGCCGGCATAATATTCTAAATTTACTTGCAAAATCGCTGCTGTGGGACTTGAGAAATCTTAAAAAAATAGACTCGTTTAATTATATAAATTTTATATGTTAAAATTTAAATATACCACTAATTTAAATCGTCTAAATACTACGGTAAGGTACGCTTTGTTTAAAAAAACTCGAATTTAAATTAGTGATAATGAACTATATATATGTTGTAATGAAATATTGATAACTTTATTATTATTTGTATTTAGGTAAAAGGTTATTTAAAATCATGTGAGAAGGCTTGTAAAAAGTTATTGCGGAAGGATTAATGTGAAATAACAAAAGGTATTTCTTGGATTTGGTTGAGTATAAAATGTGAATGTACTTGTTACTGGATACAAGATCTTTTGAAATGGTTGGATTCCGCGACTTAAGTGGACCACGTCTCATCGATCTATAAAGAGAATGCACCTTTGCTTGCGCATGTACTCATGTACTATAATTCTGTCTTGCGCATATGGCTAGTCTTCATGGTGACTAGCTACTGTGACCGAAATTTGCTCTTTAAGTATTATATATTATGCTCGATAGCTAACGAAAATCATCGCAGTAAAACCTGCATATTTGAGAAAGTTAAAAAAATGTTAGAACATTTTAAGCACTCATTGAGACAGTGTTGTGGAATATTCCTTACTGCGAAAATTCCAATAAAGGTTTTCTCAGCAGTGAGACGTATTTAGGCTGTTACTTTATTTACTATATTAACTCTGTATTGTTTCATTTTCTTTTTTTGTCATTTTTAGCTTTGCAATTACATTTCAAATTTAAAAAAGTTTTCGAATTCGTACAATTGATTCGGTATATTTTCTAGGTTGCAAACAAAAATTACTCAGCAACGAGGAGCCGATGATGATTTCAGATATTAAACCTGGGTCTGTCGCTCACCGAAGCGGAGCTCTTGCCCCGGGGGACCAACTGCTAGCAATAAATGGACAACCGTTGCATAATTTATCACTGGTAAACATATTCCTAATTATACCTCTCTGTACATGCATATTTAATTCCGTATAACGATATCTAAAGGCGACTATTTGCATATTTGTAGTTTTCATTCAAATTAAATGTATTACCATATCGGTTTCTGCAAAATTGTTGAATTTGTTACTTTGTTGTCTGTTACTACTACACATTAAGATAACGAAATATTAAAGCGAATCGATTGAAAAATAAACATATTTTGTTACAGGATACAGCATTTAATATTCTTCAAAATTCTCCCGATGATATTATTACATTGAAAATAAGAAAACGAGATCTGACAGAAGATTGGTGTAATGTTCACAAGCATAACGCTAAGTTAACTTTGCAAAGTTTTAGTAACATAGAAACAAAAGCAGTCATACACAGTGGTGACGATTCTGGTCACCACACTGACAGTCCCAATAACAGTGCTAAAGATAGTGAGAGAAGCCAAGGCAGTGACAATGCAAATGCAGCAGTGTTTATCGTTGAGCTGATAAGACAGGAAAATGGCCCATTGGGTTTGACAATTGCTGGTAGTGAGGATGTAACGCAACCTATTTTACTTAGTGGACTTGTAGAAGGTTAGTAAATTTAAGTAAATTTTATTGTAATACTCTTAATAAACATTCTCAATATAACTAGATCAGTAAGAATGTAAGTGTTTAACTCGAAATATATTAATTTAAATTGAACCTTTTAATTACTGTGATTTTATAACAGGTGGTCTAGCAGAAATGTGTGGTAAATTGGCAATAGGTGATGAATTATTAAGCATAAATGGTGAGAGTGTACTTAACAAACCGTTATCGGAGGCTATTAAGCTTCTGCAGCAAAGTGGAATGAGAGTGCAACTTCAATTGTGCCGAAAAGTTACGGGTAAGTAACTATAATTTAAGAAAAAAATACGTAGATTTCATATTCTGATTTTTTAACGTCATTTAAAATTTTATATCTATGGGGAAATATTAAGTTCAGTTATTTAAAAAAAACGAATAAGTTTTTTAATAACATATTTATACAAGGATCTAATTTTCAATGTTTTACAAAATCAAAACATTCAACCCACTTACTTACATTTACTTGCAAATATTTATAATACCAGCATCACTTCAATAAAATTGAATATCACAGGACTTTATTTCCCTATTCTAAAATGAGTTAAACAGGGTGATCCGCTGAAACTCTTCATTGCCACTTTAGGAGAAGTATTTCGGAAATTGGCAGATATTTGACTAGAGAAAGGCATCAAGATTGGATCAAGAGGTTAAGCAATCTTAGATTTGCTGATGACATTATTTTCTACACGTTCTCGGCCAACGAACTCAGAGAAATGCTCAACGAGCTACGAACAGCTAGCCTGGAGGTTGGACTTCTGATAAATATGAAAAAGACCAAGTTAATGACAAACCATCTCAAGTAAAGGATACATAGAGATGACGCGGAGGTTGAGTATGTTTACTTGGGCCAAATAGTCTCTTTCCAGACAAGGCAAGGAAAAGAGATCGTCCGACGATCAGAAAACTCCTGGAAAAGCTATTGGGCCTTAAAACATCTAATGAATGGCGACGCAGAAATATCCTTTAAACGCAAACTCGTGGACATGTCCATCCTCCTCGGCTTGACATATGGTGTCCAAACCTGGTTTCTCACCAAACAGCAGAGATCTGACCTCGGGGTGTGTCAGCGAGCAATAGAGCGCAGCATGCTAGGAGTCAGACTAACAGACCGCATCAGAAATATCACTCTGTGCTCCAGAACCCAAATCACTGAAGTCTCCCGTAAATCCGCCAAACAAAAATGGGACTGGGCCAGTCATGTTTGCCGTATGTCAGAAGAACTTTGAGCCAAAATGCAACTCGGTGGACTCCTATAAATGGCAGACGATCCCGAGGTAGATCAAGAAAACGATGGTGGGATGAATTGGACTCCTTCTTGGAAGACTGGTCCTCCATAGCAAAGAACCGCAAAAGGTGGAAAGAGGTTGGTGAGATATTTGCCAAGCAGTGGGACGTTATGGGCTGATAAAATAAGATAGGATCTCACTGAGGAAGTGATTAATTGAAACTTTAAACAACGATTAACAACTTATTTGAGGTCAACCACGATCCAACTCGGGTTCTATGCGTATTTTAAAATGTTAGGCAAGCATTCTTGCCTCCGTGCTGTTTATAGATATTTATAAAAATAATGCAGACCTTTAATTCCAGCCTTTAAATTCTAGTTATTAAGTGGCTTCGTCTTGATAGTATTTCCTACTCATCTATACAAATAAATAAAATTTGAAGTGTCTGTTTGTAATATCAAAACAACAGCTTTTTAGTAATATCGGTACATATAACAAAAACAAAAGTTTTAAAACTTTTGTCTGTCTGTCTGTTTGTTCCGGCTAATACATTTAATGAATAATGGATTACGATAAAATATAATAACAAAAAAAAATAGTTATTATTTTATAACTGAAATAGAGTCATCAAAAAGATAATAAAACTTACGAGAAAATAACTAAAGCTTACGCCTTTGTGTGATGTGTCTGATTATTTATAAACTTAGATTTCTATTAGACTAAATCTACAGGCTGGTGATAGTGAATATATCGCTGGTCAGGTCACTGTCAGTTGATTGCCAGTGCTTCATTCACTGATCAGCATTACGTGTAAGTGTACTACGTGTGTTTCTTGCACGTGGCTAAGCATTTGAAAGAAAATAAATTAATATGAGACAACTGTATATAAATTGTTATTTATCTATATAATACTCATTCATAATATGTTTTAACAAATTCAGGTCCTTTGGAAAGTTCCGAGACAAGTGTAAGAGATTCCAGTCATTCTACCTCCAGCCCAGGTTTATCTAATGATAGTGCAGTTGAATCATGGGATCAGAACACACCAATCAGAACTAGTGCAAACTGTGGTAAGAATCATCGAATATTAAAAAAAAATATGGCCCAAACACCCTGGAGGAAATATCATTTTTTGTTTATACGAGTGCATACTATTAGCTCTTATGATAAGTATTAAGTGTGGAGTGGCAAGATTCCTGTGCTACTAATATGTTATGAAATTTTTATCTTTACATCAAAAACGTGATATTTAAAGGATAGTTTGTGACTGTTTTAAATAGAAAATAATAGTCTGTAGACTAAACAGGTATTAGGTATGTGTCTAAAAGCAATCGAATTACAGAAAGGTTTAATTTATTGCCTTTATAACGGATAGGTAATGGTTAAATTAATGGCCTTTTTGAGTAAAAGTTAATTTTTATTAAGGTTATTTAAAGATCATACGAACGTCAAAATCGACACCGTTCACTATTTCATTAGTACAGAACCGTTTAAACATTGTAAATATTATACACTCGTATATATTTAAACAGTTAAGATCATTGTGATAAACATATTCAAATATTTTGTTTTAAATTATATATATTTATTTATAATGATTAACATTTTAACTCATAAACGCTTGGAAAATGAATATACTCCTAAGCCATATTCCAGCCGAAATTTTATGACTCTAATATGTACGAAATAACTTTATATTTTATTCATAAAGGTTGCGTTCAATTTTCAGGTAATTCTGAGGTAATAGAATATGCAGTACCAGACAAGAGTCGTATACTAGATAAGCAACCCTATTCACCAACAGATGAAGACAAACTGATGGCTTGTAGCTTCAATTCAGCCGCTCCATACAGCATCAATGATTTACCTTTGCCTAACTATTCGCTAAATAATTCACTTAAGACTTTCCACTATGAAAACACGTGCATCATTCCAGAGAATACTTTGAAAAATAAACAGAACATTACCAGAGAGGATGACGTCCATCAAATTGAAATTCTCACATCAACTATGAAAGACTGTCAGCTCCACAATATGGAGAGGTCGTCATGTAAGTGTGAGTATGTCCAGATGGGTCCATATGGAATTGTATCACCGAAGAGTAGAAGAGCAAACTGGGAAAACGATTACCTTAACAGTGGGATCTATACAGTAACAACACCTCAGAAATCGCCATTGAAACCTAACACCCCTGGAACAAGTTTCCAATTTTCAACTAGCCCCATCTATGAAAATGATGTTCCAGGTTAGTAACTATTCATAATATGATGTATAAACAAACAACTCTTAATAATAAAAAGTATTAAAATTCTTACAAGTCAGTATAGTTCTATAGATAAAATCTACATATTAACACCAAAATGCAGTTACAGGCTTCTGTGAATCGATTTGCGTGGAAAAGATATGACTAAACGTGCCAAGTAGTATTCTAAAACATCCGGATTGCCTCTCTGAATTTCGTCACTACAAAATGTGTTTGAAATTTTCGTTTTGTAAAAACTGTTTTACATTGGATGAGATGCCAACTACAAATGCATGCTGGCTTACCATTTATATTGGCACGGAATTCTTACATCAACGTTTTAGTATGTGTTATAAAATATTGAATCACGAAAAATGTTATGTGCATATAAAATATACCATACTAAAAGCTTAAAAATATTTAAAATACTAACCAACGTAATTTTAAAGACAATTTAACAAACTTGATTCTGTCGTATACTGACACTAATAATTATATTATACACTAGCTGTTCCCCGGAACTTCCCCGCGTGGAGTATTACGCGTATTTGACAAATATTGACATTAATATTTATACGATAGTAAAGTCACTCAATTGTTTTGCCTTTCCGGAACCCCTCCACTAACATTTACACTTTATGGTGTGGTAATAAAGTTGAAATTGACTTTTAAGTAATCTTTTGTATGGGAATATATAGAAAAATGTTGTTTTTAGACTTTTTCGGGCAATTTTTTTAAATTTTTCTTTCCGTAAGTACCATCTTCGTACTTCAAGGAATATTATAAAAAAAGAATTAACGAAATCGGTTCAGCTGCTCTCGAGATTTGCGCCTAGCAACACATTCAGTGATTCATTTTTATATAATAGATTATATAATATACTACGTTATATTAATTTATACGTGGTAAAGGCTCGCTACAGATATGTTGTAGTTGTAGCACGTATAGGTCAGCACGACCGGAGAAAGGGTAAACTCTCACAAAATACCAGCGTAAAATAGCAGCTTAATTCTGATGTATTTGAGTGACAAAACATCTGCATATAGAATCTTACCGAGGGTGAATTTATGTGTCTATGGGCCACAGAATCCACTTAACAACAGGTGAACTGTTTACTTGCTCTTCAACATTATTCTTTGAATTAAAAAAATTGAGACATTTAATATTTAAAGAGAACTTCCTTTTGAATCCACAAATGTACCTTACACTACGTTTTTACGAACTTTAAGTCGTACCGGTAAGCGAAAAGTATGGTGGATTGACGATTTGGTAACACATGAAAGAAGTCGGTAGATACAAGTGGCTCAGGACCATACTTTACGCATTTTTAGAGATTATGTTATGTTCAAAAGTGGTCTTGTGTCTTCCTTTAATGATGATGATACATGCCTTTTACAAAGAATAACAATCCTAAAATCTATTTGGTTTTTTACTAGAGGTTTCTTATATTATTAACTTCTTATTATTATTTTGAGTTTAGATTTATTTTTTTATCGTTATTAAAGCTAAGTTGTCAATTGTTTAAGGTCTCTATAGTAGTGAAACTTTATCTCCTGCTCGAGGCTCGGTTCACCACGTGATTTTGTACAAAGACGCTATCTACGATGATTACGGATTCTCGGTGTCGGATGGATTGTATGAGCGCGGCGTGTATATAAATCGGATCAGAAAGGGCGGTCCGGCCGACATTGTGGGATTACTGAGGCCATATGACAGAATTTTGCAGGTTTGTATTTTGTACGATTTTGGTTCAAGTTTTATAATAAAAACGCATTAAAAAAAAAGTACTACTATACGTTGAAGGTATATGTAGGCGTGCTTTTGTAGGAAACTCTCTTCCCTCTTCGCTGTATGACATTTTCAAGTCCTATTGCATATCACAAGTAAAATTATCAACTGCTTTTTGGAAAAACTTTATTTTTTTAAACTAAAGATACCTTAGTAAAACAATGCAAGTTTTTGTTGCACACTCAATTCATTTGGTGCTTGTTGTTTCCCCGTAGGTGAATGGAACGCGAACGGTAGACTATGATTGCTGTCTGACTGTACCGTTAATTGCTGCCGCCGGAGATAGACTAGAAATTGTTGTTCAACGGCTCGTTACTTCAAAGGTAAGAAAAATTATCTCTCTTTATTTTTATTGTAACCAAATTTAGAAAATGACAAGATATTATGATATCTTATATGTACGTGAATACTACTTAATTAATATAATTTATGTTACGGATTTTATTGCGTTTAATTTTAGCTTTTTTTGTTGAACTGAGTGTACTGAAACAGTACTGACGCCTAGGAAAGTCTGCAGTATGTCAACGCGTTCAGTGTCATCCCAATTATTAATTAAATCAGATTAGATTGACCATAAATCGTCGCAAAGGGACACCAATTCCAACAAAGGATGTTTCGCGAGGCTATTGACTCAGTGCTTGGGTGCTACTATCTGCTTAGGATCCCACAACTGATCAAGCTAAATCCATAACCAAGCATTTAACTGCAAGACTTCAAATATACCGTAAGCTCGTTTTGCTATGATCGGACCAAAAATTTATATTAAAAAGTCGAATTCAGCCTTCACTAACTATGACATAAGACACCGTAAGTGCTGAAAACGCCTGAAATGTCTGGTATCAAAAAACATTGACATTTGAAAATAGATTTTTACGATCTGGATAAAAGGTAGCAGCAGTCATGTAGAGTTAAAAAAATGTTCTTCAGCAAACAAAGTTTTGAAAAATACATCACTAAAGTTTATGTTTTCAGAAATATGGTGTGTTAATGTTTTGAGAAAACTAAATAATATTATTATTTTTCTTAATTCTAAAATACATTTCGAGATTTTTTTCTAATAATTATTCATAATTCATTTATTGCATGTCAAAGTATAAAGTTTTTACAATATATTTAAAGAGCATGTGACAGCCTGTACGGGCGTAGCATTTTAAGACGGATTTTAAATGATTAATATAGAATTAAATTAAATTACAATATATATAGTACATAATCTGTATATTATTATTAATTAATTTATAAAATGTCAAAAGAAATTATACAAACATTTATTTTTAAATTAAATGTCAATAAATATTTTATCATCAATGGCGAGTACATCACTCACCAAAGAGAATATAATCACTACGTTTATCACTCACCTTCGATTTGTCGACGATAACAGAAACAGAAACTTTTTTATTCAATATACTCGTAGATTATAAATAATACTTATTGAAAGTCACGCTTTTGAATAATTACCACTGGTTCGAAAAAAAAATCTCTGTCCTGGGAAGAACCAGCAAGAAACCCAGCGGGACTTTTTTTTAAATAACAGCTTACAATCATGTATGTTACACAAATTAACAACACAACAAATTAGAAATAGCTTGGTAGCGATCACCTCATTTCCAGGGGTTATTATCATCTATAAATTCTTTAATATTATAATAACCCTTTTTGATATAGTCCTTATGGCAGAATCACTGGAGGACCGAAGCACTATACTCAATGGGCCTCCCAACGGATAGGTCTTAAGATGAACATGGACAAAACCAAGATAATATATAACCTCCATGTCACACCTATGCCTGTATTTGTTGGGAGTATTAAGCTCGAAATTGTTGACGAGCATGTTTACCTGGAACAAATAGCCTACTAGGTAATTCCAATTTCAACCGAGAAGTCAAACGACGAATTCAACTCTGGCTGGGCAGCGTTTGGGAAATAACGACACATCTTCTCGTCAGGTATACCTCAAAACTTGAAAACGAGACTGTACAACCAGTGCATGTTGCCAGTGGTGACTTATGGATCTGAGTGGTCCGTCACTGCTGGCCGTATAAGGAAGTTCAAGGAAAGGATAATGCTCGGGGTTTCTCTGTGTGATAAACTTAGGAATGAGGATACACAATAAAACCAGAATGACCGGAATGGCGCAACGGATTAGTAAGCTGAAGTGGCAATGGACCGGCCATATAGCTGAAAGAACCGACAACCGATGGAGAAAAAAGGTTCTCGAGTGACAGCCTTGTACTGGTAGACGAAGTGTAGAGCGAACCCCACTAGGTGAAGTGACGACCTGGTAAAACATACACGAAGTCGATGGATGCAGGTGGCTCAAGACCGTGTTTTGTGGCATTCCTTGGGGAAGGCCTTCTTTCAGTAGTGGACTTCTGAAAGGCTGTTGTCATTTTTATTCATGTAATGCGATATATTTGATGATAGTATTGACAATGTCAAATAATTAAATAGAAATACTGAAATGACAAACAAACTTGCAGTGCAGCTGATGGTATGTGGCTAGTGCAACTCATAGACAACCTTCAATCAACTTCAAATAAAGAGACTACAGATGGGTTGACGCTTCAGAAACTGGCTCCTTATACACTTCAGACCAGAATACGGAACTTACGTACTGCTGCTTGCTGAAGTAGGAAAGAGGATGGTATCTACCAAGATGGTCTCCTACGCAAATGAAGAGTGTATTTCATTATTTAAAATTATATTCTTTCTCATACACTTCCACACTTTTGAGTCAATAATTGTCTAAATTGTTAGTATTAAAATCGTCAAAATCAATAATTTACATTTTTATTTTAAATTTTATACGTGGTAAAACCATGCTGCACCTATATTATGATTGTAACACAAATTGGTCGGCTTGACTGAGGAAGTACTACTTAATCTATCACAGAATACCAGCGTAAAATAGCAGTTGCTATGTTTTGTATGGTGAATGTAGAAAACTTTTTCACCTTTTACTGGAAACTAGGCATTTCATCTTAGTCCTGAGGAGTGACAACACATTTGCTTAATTGGGGATCATTGTTGATGTTTATGGGGCACAGTATTAACTTAACGTCAGGTTTTTATACGTGGTAGAGGCATGCTGCAGCTATATTAGTAGTATAGTTTTAGCACGACTGGGTCGGCTCGACCGGGGAAGGACCACGCTCTCACAGATTACCAGTGTAAAATAGCAGCTTAACACTGCTGTGTTTCTTATTATGATTGTAGAGTACTTGGGTATATAAAAATAAAAATAAGTTAAAATCAATTAAACGCGATATAATCCGTAAAAGTAGTTTTATTCAATGTGTAGTGTTCGCGTAAATATAAGAAATCATTCAGTATTTTCTTAATTGCAATACTTGGCATGTTCTACTATCAGAATGTCTGCACCCTTGACACTTCTCCAGTCTTTTTATTTTATTTAGCATATATGAGATGATGTGCTTCCGGCTATCGGAGGCCATGAGGTATGTCTGGTTTTTCTCATAGTATACCTACTGAATATGGTTTATGATGTCTACTAAGCCGCAACCACATGGAATAATGCATTATTTTCATCAACTTTATATCACAAGACTGCTGAACATGATTCACGCCCAAGTAATGCCACAAAATTCGGTATTGACCCACCTGCATGAATTGACTTACTGTTTATTACCCGAGATTGCTACTCGATAAACCCTTTTCCTAATCATTTGATGGTTTTTGCTATATGACTGGCTCTCATTGCAACTTCAGATTACCAATCTGTTGGGTTATATTGGTTAATCTGGTACTACTGCGGATATCACCGTTACGGATTCTATCATTTGTCATAAGATTCTACGTAGGTATGTCCTTTTTATGCTCGCTGAGTGACTTTAACATTTTCATACAACTAGCAGTGAAATCTGCGAGTGTTACCAGTAATGACATATGGGATAGAAAATGTGAAATTTTTACTTTAATTTAAATTTTTTAGGTTGCTGCCTGGAGCATATTTCACTCATTCTAATAATATTTTTGAAGGATTTTCTTCGAAAGCCGTCTGTTGCCGACGATAAAATGTCCGGAATATAAAAATGTTTTCGTAATATGAATGTTTATGTTATTTTGTCGTAAGCTCTAAACGTGACATTCCGCTTAACGCTTCCACGCCTATTGCCTCGAGGGAGATACGTATATCCCTTCATTTTAGATAGGGGGGAAAAATAAGTAGAAAAGTTGTATTTAAATGTATGGTTGTTTTAATTAATATTAGCATAATAACATTATAAATATTTAAGCAGTTACAAGCAAAATATATTTTTATATTGTTAGCAAAAATAAGTGAAGTAATTATATTTGTACAGTGACATGAGAGTCAGGCTTACGAATATTTCGGTGAACCAATTCCCCTTTCTTAGTTAATAGTCGTTGGTTTCTGTTTTTGGAACTGTCCAGTACGTTCCTAGGATGTGCTTCTTCCTTAAACCACAAATTTTGAGAATTAAGTATGCATAATAAATCGTATAGTAAGAGCTGTGATAGCTCAGAGACTAAGCACATAAGACCAAGTAATTATCCGTCCCAAGTTGGACCCCCGGTAAACCCTTGTATCACCACTGCACTCCTCATTCTTTCATCCAAAATTATGAAATCTATCATGCTTCTATCATCCCCTCTTTCCCATGTATACATGTGGATTCTCTTATGGCAAAAGAAAGGGTTCGTCATAAAAAGATTCTTTTCCACACATACGGTGACGAGGTCTTCACCATTCTCATTTATACTTTCATTGCCAAACGTTCCTAATATCCTTTCATAACCAGACCTCCTCACCCCAAACCTTCCATTAAAATATCCTTACATAAAAATATTTTAATTTTCCTTACATTTCATCAACACCAGCCTTACCATGTCCCAAAACTGCTCTCGGATATAAGTGGGCTTAGAAATATCTGGAGCATACACATCAATCACAAACAACTTCTTTAAGCCTACTTTCATTCGTATACACAGCAGCCTTGGGCTTACACATTCATACTCTTTTACTCATTGACCCATTCTTTCTGAAAGGATAACACCGACTCCCTGGCATGCCCGCTCGGTCTCGTCTACACCAGACCAGTAAGCGGTATACATGCCATGTGCAGTGACATCTCTTCCCTTTCGTTTCGTCTCATTTACACATAATACATCTATTCCTCTATCATTTATCATTTCGCATACTTCATCCATCTTTTTTTTAATGGGAGAGGGGGCAAACGAGCATGCGGCTCACCTGATGGTAAGTGCTACCGCCGCCCATGAACAACTGCAACACCAGGGGAATCGCAGATGCGTTTCCGGCCTTTTAAAAAGGAGTACGCTCTTTTCTTGAAGGTCCCTAAGTCGTATCGGTCCGGAAAAATCGCTGATGGTAATCGATTCCACAAGGAGGTCGTGCGAGGAAGAAAACATCTTCTAAATCGCACAGTGGTGGACCGCCAATCATCCAGATGGTGTGGATGGTATCGGGAGTTCTGCCGCGATGTGCGTTCGTGAAATTTGGCGGCTGGGATTAATCCGAACAAATCCTCAGAGCACTCCCCATGGTAGATGCGAAAGAAAATGCAAAGGGATACAACATTTCTTCGCAGTGCCAATGAATCGAGCCGATCGGAAAGGTCTCGGTCGTCGACGATTCGAGCCGCTCTGCGTTGGATGCGGTCAAGTGGAAGGAGCTGGCACTGGGGAGCCCCTGCCCAGAGATGGGAACAGTATTCCATGTGAGGCCGAACTTGCGCCTTGTAAAGTTGCAGGCGGTGTGCCGGCATGAAATACTATCCCGCTCTGCTGAGCACGCCAAGCTTTTTAGAGGCTAATTTGGCCTTCCCTTCCAAGTGACCACGAAACTGCACGTCACTCGATATGTCGACTCCGAGGATACCGATACTGGCTGAGGCAAGAAGGGGAGTGCCTTCAAACTGAGGAGATACGACAAAGCGGTTCTTTTTAGCGGTAAACGCGCAAACTTGTGTCTTCTGAGGATTAAACTGGACTAGATTTAGTCGCCCCCAATCCGAGACTTTGCTCAGCAAAGACTCGACTTCAGACACAAGTTTGTTCCGGTACTCAGCGACGTTTTCCCGAGAAATATTGGCACGGCCGTTGTATAGAGCATCACCAGTGCTGTCATCCGCATAGCAATGAATGTTACCAGTTAGCAACATATCATTTATATGCAGAAGAAACATTGTTGGTGATAGCACACAGCCTTGTGGAACACCAGCGTTAATAGGCTTGTAGTCAGAGCATGCACCGTCTACAACGATCTTGATGCTCCGATCTGCAAGGAAGCTGGTGATCCAATTGCACAATTTCTCGGGAAGCCCATAGGAAGGCAGCTTCGAAAGAAGCGCTTTGTGCCAAACCCGATCGAAGGCCTTCGCAATGTCCAGACTAACGGCCAACGCCTCCCCCTTGGACTCTACTGCCTCCGCCCATCTATGGGTCAGGTAGACCAGAAGATCACCAACTGATCGACCCCGACGAAAACCGTATTGGCGGTCACTAATCAGCTGGTGATCCTCAAGGTACCGGATGAGCTGGCAGTTAATAATGGATTCCATTATTTTGGAGAACAAGGAGGTGATCGCGATAGGCCTATAGTTGGACGGGTCTGAGCGGTCGCCTTTTTTAGGGATCGGGTGGATCTTATCATTCATTGCTCCACATACATTGTGCATAGCCAGACGGGCCTCCGCTATCCATTTTTCGCCCCTCCGGGAGACAGGACGTGACGGGTGGCGAACTTCGTCGCCGGTTTTTCTCCCGAAGAATCTCCGCACCGCTGCCCCATTAAAGGGGCGCCGGGAACTCGTGGCCATTTCTTTTACTTGTTGGCTCATGGTGCGAACTAAGGGGTGGTAGATTTTACGCCGCTACCATATCTACCATTGCACTAAACCGTACAGTTTTGGGGCTGTTCAGAACTTTGTCTAATGTCAAGTAAATGCCTACCAAGTTGTTTATTTAGCGAGGTGAATATGGGAAAATATATCTGTGATGATTTGATGTATTTTGGAAATACCTATAAACAAATACTCCAGAGGTCAAAACACTGATAAAATAAAGTTAAAAGTAAATTGTGATTTTTGAGCATAGTATACAAATCTTATGTTACTTGTTTCAGGACCTCAAGAATCAGCGTTCGGACGACAGTTCCAGTCCCAGTGATAGTAGTATTGTGACAAAAACTATTTAGTGCAAAACCCGGCTTTAGTGCAATCACACTAAAGAATAAAAACTGTATTTTAGTGAATAATTTATGGTATTTTATGGTAACTAGAGTTACCTTATACACAAATACAGCGATAATTCTTTTTTCTGGTTTTCTAGGAAGTAACATTCCGATTTTGTAATACTACAGAAGGTATGGTTACTGATTTTTCTAACTCAATAAATAAAATAAGAATATACCTGGTCGATCGTTAACTTATCAAAGAGATAAGTATCTTGTAAAGTAATTTAAATACTACTATTGTAAACTACACTATTGTTTAAATTATCTACGGGATCAGCCAAGTCGACATTCTACAATCTTAAACGCTTATAGAAAACTATATAAATGAATAACATAATACGTTAACGTTGAATCACATGAGTTGTTGTTGATGTTTCTATTAGCGTTAACGATTGTAGAATGTTGACTTGGGTAATCCCACTGTTATAATGCTCAAGTCGCACAATCTGTTATTTCCATAATTTTTTCTTTTGCTGTCTTTCCTCATTTATTTCCATAATGTATAATTAGTTTTGTTTATGCTATTTTCGTTACGTTAATATATCTATTTGTGTAACAAACCATTAATTTTGTATTTTATTTTATGTATGTACCTTTCATTTTAATCAATTTTGCAATATTAATTAATTATATACTAAAATTAGCTGGATACTGAATATACAACATTAAGTCGAAAACATAAATGAAATTTCAAACATTTAATACATATATTAATCGTCAAATTTACGTTATTGGGCCTCAAAACTTACCTTTTTTATAATTTTCAGTGTTTTACATCATAATTTTTCATTTTTGTGTAGTACAATACTGGATATAGAGGCCAATTATAAGTTGACTGAAATACAAAAAGCATTTTGTTTTGTAAGTAATGAGAAAAACTATTATTTAATTTTATTAATTTATACAATTTATAGCACAATTTGTCTGTTATATGGTGACCTCATTAAAAAGTAAATTACCCTCTCTGTGTAGACCGCATTGTTTGAATCTTTGCCAAAAATCTTTTGTGCTTAGATCTTCAGAAAAATAACTTTTAAATTTTCACATTATTTTTAAAAAAAAAATTGACATTCATTATTTTATTTTATTAATTCCCACATTTATTGGATCTTTTAGAATTACAAACGGAAGAGTTTCAATGAGTCAAACTATTCTTATAGTTTTATTCTAAAAAAATAAAACAACATTCATTTTAGACGCCACACTGAAATTGACATTTTTAAACCAAAGTATCAACCAATGATATAAATAGTTACTAGAATGCTACATCATTTAAAAATAATTGTATGTAAGTATTAAATAAATTTAGCGAATATTTGTTGTAATACGAAATAGCACCGTGTAAATAAACATCTAGATGTTTAATGTACGAGTAGTTTACCGTTCTTAACATCAGACTGATAGAGAATGTAATAGATTAGGTAGTACCTAAAAACTTGTTGAAATAACATACGTTAGCAGTTGATTACTAATACTACTAGATTTGTCTAAGTAATAAAATTGTAAATTAAAACACATAACAGTTGTATCTCTGATTGATAGTTGCAAAGAGCACTTGCGATGAATTATTTCACTTATTCTAAGTAATTTCATAAGTACCATTAGGGAAAAAATTCAGGTTGCTCAGTTATCGCATTCTATCAAAGGAAACACTAGCATCTCACGTTTGGAAAATATTTAGCATGATAGCTGAGCACTCTTAAATTTCATGGAACGCAAGCAAGCCGGATTCAGTCCCCAAATTGTTAATTTTAATTTTGAATGTTGAAATACGACGTGCTCTGCGGTGAAGAGAAACATCGTGAGGAAACCTGAATGTATATGGAATAAAAATTATTTCAAAGATGTGTGAAGTCTGTCAACATGCGTCAGACTAGATATTTACTTGCTACAAAACCTTCTTTCAATTGAGAGGAGGCCCGTGCCCAGCCTAGGGACGTATATAGACTATCACTAAACTTATACTCTACATTTACCCGGCACTTAAGGTACTTCGATTCTGTATAAAGTTGTAATGCTTCCAATTATAATTTCCTTTTCCCTTCGGAAATTTAGAGGTAATTTATAAGTTATAAAGTAAAATAAATAGGCTACAATACTTTATCTATGAAAATTAGGGCCCGCGAGTTTTCTACTAGTATGTCGTACGTAAATTAGTTAGAAATAAATTCAAAATAGCATTGTTTGCGTATTAAATTTTTATCAAAAATTTTAAATAAAGTATCTAGGATTATATATTATGCATAGCAAACCTAAATAAAATGAGTCAAAAATGAAGTGAGCTTACTCTATTGTAATTATGTTTTTTTTTCTGCGAATTTGTATTGATGTTAAAAATATTTAGATGTTCTATTGTTGCTTATAAAAAAAAACTCCTGGCTTCGATTTTATTTGAATTATTATGTACTTATGTAATTTTTTCTTGGGAAATGTAATAAATATGTTATTATAATGTAATATGTTTATTTTATAAAATGTAAAATTTATAATAACAGTAATACGAAATGTTTTAGTTATTTTACACATTACATTTTTTAAGTAAAATATAGTTTCATTAAAAACAAAGTTTCATAATATTGTATGATAGTTTTTTTGATAAAATATTCGTAAAACAAACATTAGTGACTTGATCATTGTAATATTAACCCATATAATATTATGTAGATAGCAATTTTTTACATTTTATTTTTGTACCCTTACAAATAAGAATAATTTATATTGATTGTCAATTAATGTGTAACTAATCGAAATATAGACAAAAGCATAGCTATCACAACAAACTTATTAAATGGTATGCGTGGTTGGAGATTGGTCTTTCATTGCCATCGTCTTACTCTTATGTCTTCTCTATAAGAAAGCGTTTAGTCCACTAATAATCGCAGGACTCTCCCATAGAGGGGTTTATATTTATTTTATTTATAAACTAGAGTTTTGCTGTAATCACAATGCTAAGCAGATTGGAGCAGTATCAGATTTCTTGCACGTTTGACGCTGTGATCATCGGTCTATATGGTTAGACGTTTTACACGTGTTAATGCCTTGCAAGGCCCGCATCGCGGGGACAGGGACGGGCTATGTCGGACTCGCACTGACTAAAACCCTGTGGTTTTCAAGTTCTCCAGATATTGGCAGGGCTACAAAAACACTTCCGCACACTTTCGCAGCCTTACCAGTGCAGACCGCCTCATGGTAGCATCTCCTTGGGAGAGGATATCTCCCTCTTCTTCTCGGGTAAAGCGTGCCTTCCTCAGTGGCTTCACCCTTTCGAATCCAATACTGGAAAACTATGGGGCCAGGAAAAACCGATCACTCGGAAGCACTACCATTTTTTATCCCAGCGGAGAATCAGATCTACGGCTCCGCCGACAACCAAGTTTTAGCCACGGGGGTTAGGGGGAGCGGCACGACTTAATACCGATACTCCTCTATCTCTGCGGTCTCACCACCACTACTTTAGCGGCGCGGCCCGTCAGCGTTTTGGAGGATAGAGTGAGTGGCGTATCGCCATACTAACCTTTATCTTCCCCCGCAACTCCACCTCGTCTGCGGCGATAGCAAGAGAGATCCACAGTTTAAACTGGGCCCGAAAATTCCATATGAGTTCCTCTTAGTTTGCCATAAGTGAAGGCACGGCTACTAAGCCCCCTCCCCCTGACAGTACAAGGCGAGAACCCGTTCGGGGTCAATATAATCCAACCATAGACTAACCTCGATTTTTTTTGCTCCGGTCGGGATTTTGCGCTGGTAAGGACTTGCGAGAGTCATAAAACATAGAGAAAGCGACCGGATACAGTAGCGTGGTAACAGGTATTGTGCTGAGTCGTATAGTGTATGCGTAAGAGAATCTATTGCCTCATATCCCCTTGGATACTAAGACGAAGATAGGTAGCAACATCTTCATGACTGCCAAGCGTGACAACTATGGCAAATATCCTGTTTATTAGTTAATTTATAGGAGAGCACCATTTTCAGCAGTGGATGGCATTTTTAGACTGTCAGTCAGACTTTGATAAACTGTAATAAATGATGTTCGCAATTTCGTGCTAGCGTAAGACAATCCGTTACGATCTCGCATGTCGCAATGCAGCGTGTCGCCAGTTGCTCATTCACCAGTCGTATGTGATACAATGCACAGTGAAATGAGTCTAAGGCCTAAGTAACAAGCGTCCTGTGCGTGTGCAGCATGGTAGAGCGTGTGAGAAAAATCTCTGACGGCCACTATTCTATCAAAAGAACAAAAACTTGCGTTTATCTTGCAAATCGCAAATATCGCCTAGCTGGGCGCCGGGAAAGAGTATACTCGTACTTTTAAGCACCACAACACTTGTTAAGGATTTAGTAGTTACTTTGTAACATATTTTCGTTAAGACTTACCCTCTAATACAAGAACACATATTTGTATCATATAAGACGTTATTACAATGACGTTATAACGCTAGCAGAAATGTTCATTTTCAGAAACTAGCTGTCCAAGAGAAAGTCTAAGCCAACTCGTAAGTCGGATAAAGGTTTGAAGTCATAATCAAATATACGACATCAAAATAGTCCCGAAATTTAAACAAGCAAGAAATGACATATTTGAGACATTGAAGCTTAGAGGCCTGATACCTGTGCACCTGAGTTCGATGCCTTTTTATAACAATTTCAAGTGCCGATTAACCACTGAAGTATTTGCTGAAAAAAGTCTCGGATTGCAGGCGACTAAATCTAGTCCAATTTTATCTTCAGAAGACACAAGTTTGCGCGTTTACCACTAAAAAGAACCCCTTTTTCGTACATGTCGTCATCATCATCATTAAAACCGCCCACAAGTTCACTGCTGAATAAAGTCATTCACCTATTAGGTTAAGGCTTTGATTTAATAAAACTGAGTAAGCTTTCTATTATTATGTAACGTTTATTTTTACTTTTTACACGAGCTGACAGCCTTGAACTCGTGAACTGACAACTGAATGTAAATA